ATAAATCTTACAGACCATGATGTTGGCCAATGAATAAAAACTTCTCACCTCTGTGTTAAGATCCCAAATGTTTTGATATTTCTTCCCAAACCTTACTGTACTCTTTGAAGAGAGTACTGCAAAAAAGTACAGGCCTAATGTAGAGTAACAAGTGTTCAAGTGTTAACACAAAAATGAAACTTTAAGGATTTATTTCAAACTTTATACAAATATTGCAGATCCATTCATTTGATCCATTTTCTGCTTCTCCAAGACCGGGTTGTGCGGATAGCATCCTAAACAGAGAAGCCCAGACCTCCCTCTTCCCAACCACATCCTCCACCTTATCTTGGGGAACACGAGGTGTTCTCAGGTCAGCCAGGAGATCTAATCTCTTCAGTGTGTCCTTGGTCTATCCCAGGGTCTCACGGTAGGACACGTCACCCAGATGGTGTCCGTGTAAAGTGCCTGAACCACCTCAGCTGGCTCTGAGCCCCTCTTGAATGTCTGAACTCCTCTAACTAAAGTGAAATTGAGAAACGCAAAATGACACGTGAAACTATATGTCTTAGAAACAAAGAAAAAAAGGCTCCAACATAGAACCCAGCAGCAGGAGCTATATAGTACAGTAGAGTCAACACACATGTATATATACAAACATAAATGTAAAATTACCATAAAAGTAAACAAAATGAAATATTACAGGAACATCCTGTCTGTCATCTGTGTCACACCACATCGCTGTTCCTACATCACATCCAATCACTTCCCTTGAAACACAGAGGGGAGTGTCTTTTATATGCCTTCCTGAGCCTCAACAAGTCGGTGGCGTGATGTCCTCACAGTCAGAACATCTGAATATGAATTTCTCAATCATACACCTTCCACCTCGAAACAGAGAAGACTTCCTTACTAGGGTTTAAATGACTTCAGTGGCAGGAACTTCATTATTATCTGTTGGTGGCTTTCAATCCGTTCCCTCACATGGTTCGAGTGGTGAAAGCCTACAAATTTCCACATTGGGTGGCATATTGGCTTTCACAGTCAGCCTCTCATTTGGGGGAATGAGGGCACTGGAGAGGCCATGTACAACAGCTGAAGAAGCCAGTCTGTGGAGCAGCTCCCAAGGATGCAGCATGGTAAATTACCCCATGCTGAGCATTAGCAACACTCATTGTGGTGGTCTGGCACATCCACTCAGGCCTCTTTACTTTATTCAAGTCAAATCCTGCCTCATCCACACACATAAAAATGTGCAGCATCTCATTTGCATCCAACTCAACTATCTTAGCTTTGCAAAAAAAGAAAGCGCCTAAGCTTGACGCTTGTGCAGTCAGACATGTCTGTCTCAGGTGGAGACACTTTCAGAGACGATGCTTTGAAAAATCCCACCTTCCTCCACAAGATCTTTTAATCTAATGGCATCATTTTCTCTCACCTCTGCCACCTGCTGCTCGTCTTAAACATGAGCCACGTGTCTGTGTTTGAAGTAAACCTCTTTTTACATTTGCATGAATCCATACAACCAGGACTACACTGAACTCCATAGCAGAGCGTTAAAATATCATAGGTTTGTTTTGTCCTGTTCCTTCATATTTGAGCTCAGCCAAACAGTTTCTAAATTTTCACCTGATTTCATACATCAATAAAATCCTCTAAGCAGATGTGAAAAACCATTGCAGCCCCACAGACAGGAGATTTGATTTCTGTAATGAAAATGAAATACCACTGTGTCAAATGTATCACTTTTTTTTTATAACAATAAATCTACAAACACCTCTGTACATCGCCTGGGAAAAAAATCCTCAAGCCAAAGAATTTTAAATTAAATAATAAAGATGATAAATATGACAGCCAGCTGCCGTTGGTGAGTGATGAAAGCAGACAGAGCGAAACCTGGATCGAAGGGAAGATCTGAACAGAGTCCAGCACTAAGCCTGTCTGTGGATTTCTGCCCTGATGTGAATAACAGAGCGAGAGAAAAAAATCACTGTGCTTTAACTTTTCTGCTCAAAGAAACCAAAGACAGACAGATTTATAGTTAGATTTACCGAGCTCCTCATCAGAATAGCAGACATCGCAAAACCAGAAGCCGTTAAAAGTCACCACATTTATTTATTTTGAAGCATTATTTAGATTTAGCATAATTTAAATGATCAACAACATATAAAAGGTGTGTGCATAGAATCACCAGTAACAAAACAGTGAAAAAGTTTAAAAACTTTGCATCAAAAACACTTTTTTCCTCCTAAATTCTGCTTCTGCTGCCATCTTTTCTGTTACTGATTTCAGTTCAGGACTCTTTGAGCACTGCCTCTCTCTCTTATAACGTCTCTGACTGATCTTGGTTGGTTTTCCTTCTTTTGTGATCGTTTCCCCCCTCTGATTAGTTTCACCTGTGTTGTCCTCAACACCTGTTTCCAGCCAGTCAGCCTCCGCAGCTACTGGAGGTTTTTGTTATTCTTGTAGTCAAATGTCCGAGCATCCCTTGTGTTTATAGCTATTCCTTTTGACTTTACAACAAGAGCCACACACAGCTCACACTGATATCACATCATATTGTATCATATCATATATTTTCACATTAAATCCTCTAAATGTCTTAACATGAGAAAAGGAAATTTAATTTCAGCAGTATGTCACATTTTTTCTCCATGATGAAGAAATGCTGCTGCAGGATATGAAAGACATCTATCAGCATGGCACGTGCCAATTCTGGCCCCCAGGCCTTATGTTTGACTCCCCTGCTCCAGCTCAGCGCCACATCTAGAGTTGACTTTTGTTTTTTAGCTGGACGCTAAACAAGCATACTTTCAGAAACTAGAAAGTGTTACTTTCCTACATTTAGTTTTGCATTACATTGTTCTTGTTATAGGCTTTTCATGCTGGCTGGATATCAAATTTCCTTTGATATTTACTGTAAATGCACAAATTAAGAGAAATACTGAAGCCTCTCAAAGTTAACGTTTGAAAAAGATTTAACCACTAAAACACCCGAATACACACACTGACTCATTAGGGCTAATTATTGGACCTGAAGGTGACTTCTTCCTTGCAAATGAGTGGTGACTAAAATGAATAAAGCTAGATTTTAAAAGAAGAAGTCCAATTTCAAGAACTGGGGTCACAGAAAAAGTTTCAAAGGGATAAAAAAAAGTTATATTATCGTATATCAATCAGGCTCAGTCAGTCAGGCATATATAGTCATGTAAGATAAGATTTAAAAAAAGGTGGGAAAGTTAAAGATAACGTGCCAAAAATATTTTAAGGTGACTGATAAATAATTTAGTGAAGTTTTTATACCTGTCCACAGAAGAGGAACTCATTATATTAAAAAACAAACAAAAAAACGTTTTTGCAGAACTCTGCAACAAACAAAACCAAGTACAACCTGTGATTGAATACTTTCAGAACTAACTTTAACAGCAATAACTTAAAGTAATAGTTTCCTGTAGGACCTGATGCAGGTCGATGGACACTTGGATGAGCTGTGACTGAAAGGCTTTTGTTTTGTTTCAGTTCATTGAGGTTGAAGAGCTTTAGCTCTCAGACAGCTGCAGTCTCATTTGAATCCTTTGGTATACAGAGGAGTTCACGATCGACTCAGTGTCTGGAAGACACCCAGTCCTGTGGTTGCAGAACAAGCCCAACTCATCAGCCCTCCGTGCCTGTGCTGACAGTCAGTATGGTGTGTTTGTGCTGATGTGCTGTGTTTGGTTTTCTCCAGACGTGGTTGGTCATTGACAAACATCGCCATTTTGGTCTCATCTGTCCAAAGGACATTGTTTCAGAAGTGTTGCGGTTTGTCCAGATACAGATCGAAGCTATTCTGCATTATTCTTTTCACAGAGAACAGCTTTCTCTCTGCAGACCTTCCAAATAAACCACACCTGTTCGGTTTTCTTCTAATTATACTGTCATGGAAAAACATTTTGAGGCCTGTAGTTTTTTTGAGCATTGCAGTCTGACCTTGGGATGAATTTGCTGGGACGTCCGGTAACAGTTTAGATTCTTTTTATCATGAAAAAAAGCAAAAAACTACAAAACATTTAGCATCTTTTCAGGTGGGAATATTTGATGGTTTTGTATCATTAAACTCCAGCTATCAGTCAGTTTGTATGGAAGCCCGTTTCTGCCACAAAAAACAAAACAAAAACAATAACCAAGTATCCATAACTCGAAATTTCAAGTTATTTTCTTGAAATTTCGACTTATTAACTCAAAATTTGGAGAAACGGAATTAGCTCTGCCAATCAGTAATCTACATGAATGAGATCACTTTTTGTTACCCGGAAGCATATGGCGCAGAGTAACGTGCACTCAAAACCTGATCACAATAAATTGGCGCTTTCGCGAGTACTTTTGCTGATAGTAACGCCATGTGATTCCGCTAACAACACAAGGATTTCATCATTTTTGAAGCCACACTGAAAATACTCAGCAATCTGTGCATTCATGACTGGATGTAATACCGGTAGCTTAGCTGTAGCATTTATACCTGGGGGCTAACAAGGAAATGACGTCATTCACATAGATTACTGATTGGCTGCCCTAACTCGAAATTTCGAGTTACTTTTCTCAAAATTTTGAGTTAATAAGTCGAAATTTTGAGAAAATAAGTCAACATTTTGAAAAAATAAGTCGAAATTTCGAGTTATGGATTTTTTTTTTTTTGTGGCGGAAACAGGCTTCCATAGTTTTGGCCTCTAAAATACATGGTTAGCAAAAGGTCAGCACCTATTATGACGGATGCCATCAGAAACAACACTGCATTATCCTGCTGTTATATCTGTCCTTGTTTAATGCTGATGAACTAGATTATTATTTTGGTTGAAGTAATTACTGGTCTGTTATTGAGGTTTATCCTAATACAGGCTTTTAAAGATGCCCTCTGTTTCACGCATTGATTGATTAAAAAAAAGATGAAAAACTGAGATTAATAATCTAATAATTAATAATCACTATTTGAGCAGGGACTTTGACCTCCCGATTCAAGGTCCACGAAGGGTCCAGATTGGTATCAGAGTAGTGCAGATGGGTCGCTGTTCCACTGGAGATCAGCAGAGGGAAACGTAGCTCTCTTTCCTGCGCTCCTCCTCAGACAATAAAAACAAGGCGAAGCCCACACAGTCGGCAGCATCTCGGCTCCATTCAAAGACGTCTGAAGGGGGGAAAAAAATCAGAAATATGGACACACGGCCGCCGGTCTGGGACTAGAGATGTAGCTGCAAGGATGCCAGCCAACTGCATCTCCCGTTTGCTCCTCTTCGTGTCGGTGTGCGCGGTCTGGGAGGCGCTGGCCAAATCTCTTCCAGATCAGGGAGCACTGGGTAAGCTCGCCATACGGGGGATGCGGCACAATGAGGAGATGGGAGTGGTTGCATTTTTACGGCTTTTGTCGACAATCAGTCGATCTGTGCAGCGATGCGCCCTGATTTTATGGCAACCTGAAAGATATTTACGGTTAATTACAGGCGAGGCTTTTTGCCGTGCTTGCCCCGGGATAGCGTCGTCTTTTGGCGGTATAGATTCTTTAATATCTGCGAGTTGCTTTGACAGAGAGGCCACGCTGGTGGCCGTGAGCTGGTTATGTCCCCGTGCTGTGCAGATGTGAGAGATTCAGATGTGAGCGCAGGCCCGAGTCTGTTGTTCCTGTGCAGTGTCAGGCCCAACTAAGCCGGGCCTTCATGTGTGTCATTGTTGCTTTGCACAGTGAGTAACGGTGAGAGCAGGAGGGCCTGCGGTCTTGGAAATGTGTCAGTCCCTGAGCCAACATTTTAGATTTCTTCACTCCAAAATCAATTCCCCTGCATGAGAACCCCCCGCTATTGTTCCGTTAAATAATGCTTCAGCAGAGGCCTTAACATACTCCGTGTTTATATTATTGTGGTGCATGTTTAAGGACATTATGTAATTACATTGCATTATGCATGCCTGAAGCTATTTTTGACATGCATGAATGGTCACAGGCACAGAGAGTGCAGGAATGTAACTGAGTATACAGTATTTGAGTTACTTGCACTTGCAGTGCTTTCCTGTTGTGACCTTCTCCGTTTACAGCTCCACACCGTAGAAGGAAATGTTCTTCTTTTTAATCATCGTCCTTATTTGTAGAGTCTCAAAAGCAAGCTAATAATAACCTGGAACTACAGAAGATTGCGAAACCGTTCCTAAAATGTTCTTTAGTGGTCCTGTATCTTTTATTCTGTGCAGTGAAAAGTGGATTTCTATTGATAATTCTTCACTTTAGTTTTCATATTGTCACTTTTACTTTTAGAAAAAGGTTCTGAATGCTGCTTCCACCTCTCCTTTAAGAAACTAACTTTTTAACATAGATTTTGCACCTTTGCCTCGAGGGAGGAAATTGTCATTTAATTGATGCGTCAGGCTTGTTTCGGGAACAGCTCAGCAGTTCTCCTGACCTGCAAGCATTTGCACAATGCTACAAATCTATTCCTGTATTTAGAAATGTCAGATTGCTGACACATTCGGGTCTAAGTTGTGCCGCTTTATGTACTTACTGCTCGGTTACAGCCCTGGCAGGTGTTCTTTGGGTCAGCTACTGTCACGACACATCTGAGATCAGGCCCTTGCACTGTGGTCCTGTGACTGAGTCAGAGCAGCCAGATTCACCCTCAGCCAACATTGTTGGTCGAAGACAAATGTGGCCCATGAGAAAACTGCACATGTGGCTGAAAGCAAGTCCAAACATGTGTTAGTTAAAAAAAACAACACATTTTTTAAAATCATTTTCTTACCCTGTAAGACCAAATATTGGCTCACTCGTTCCTTTTTATGATGTTACACTGAATTTCTGTAAACATTTAACTCTTTTCTAACAGTTGGTCATTTAATTGACAAAGCCTGAGTTAGTCGAGGCCAAACATTACTAATAAGTAAACTCCAGATGTGAAACACAGACCATACATTGTTTGCTATCTGGGTTGGTGGAGATGTTGCTTGTTTTGGAAGGAAATAGATTAAATCAAAACAAGCTTACACCAAAGCGTAATCCATCTGCAGATTTTTCTTTGCATCCGTATTGAGTCAGGTTTACTCCTTTTTGCATATGACTTTAAAACATAACGTCAGAGATAACAGAAACAGCGCAGGTATGATAAACACAATCAGAGCCTTTAAATAATCTTCCTGTAAAACATATAATGGGTTCAAAAACAATGGCACTTTGACATTTCAGTCCCTAAAGAAGAGTTTATGGCGATTATATTAAAAGAAAAGCACAAACTGTACAAGAAATAAGAGGCTTCCTGCCTTCGATTTTGACAACCATTCGGTGAATTTAAGTTGTGTTTTGAGATGCGTCTACTGAATCACTTCTGAAGGACACTGAGGGAGTGAAAAATTCCCACTGCGTCTCACTGTGACTCTCTGTGTTTGTGTCAATGGAGCTGCTTCAAGCCTTCAAGTGAGGAGCCCAGATTGAGGAAATCCTCTCTACACACACACACACACACACACACACACACACACACACACACACACACACACACAAAGGAGCCTTTATTGGACAATTTATGTTAATGGATGGCAGCATTTATGCATGCACCGTGGATATGGACACACAAACACCCACACACAAACATACTGCTTATTATCTGAATGCAGCCATTAGCTGCTGTCTCTGGAAGAGTTGTGCATCGAGGGGTTTGTCACTGGAGGCCTGCGCGGTTTTAGCTCACAGTCCTTCAGGGACTGAAACACAACAAGCCAGCTTTTTGGAGTGTCAGCTTGTATCCATGGGAACATCCCCAGCATGACCCACATCTACGTCGTCCAAGAGACGAGATGAGAAAATGTTCCCGAGCTGACAAGAATGATGAGGGGATGAGGGGCGGAAATAGCCACGCAACGGATTTATGGCGGGTGTGGCTGTGATGACTACAAACATCATCATCAAACGAACAACAACAATCATCCCCCGCTGGAAGTGATTAGTCTGCAGCAGCAGCGCACACAGCTCACCGGTCAATACATTTAAAACTCTGAATGCATTCTTCATCAGTCACATCTGTTGACTCATAATATACATGCTGTGGGGTCAACATAAGTTACACCTCCTGGTGATGTTATAGTCGCCGATGCCCTTAAAGGAGACCTATTATGCTTTTCCTAATTTTCTGTCACGTAGATATATTGTTACTATGGTGGATGCACAATAGATCATGCTGCAGACTGACCTACACATTCAGCTTTAAGCAACTTTTTTCTGGTCTTGGATCTGTGTGATGTCAGTAAGAGGAGATACCTTTAAGCTCTCATCTCAGGCACAGAAGCCCCACCCACCTGATGTTCAAACCTTCAGTTTACAAGGGTCAGCCAATCAGAAGAAAGCCGGCTTAAAGTGGGAGGGGCTACAAGGCTTAGTAAAGGATAAATAAGATTATTTAGATTTTTGTTCCACTCACTGTGTGTTTATACACCACTCTGCTTTTAATTACTACTTATTATTTATCTCTGGCTTACTTCCACAGCGGTTATTTGTCCTGTCCCCCTCCACTCACCCTCGTGCCAGTCGTGGCAGATAACTTCCCTTCCCTTAATGGCTATGCCAGAGTTTTCTTCCTGTTAGAGGGGAGTTTTTCCTTCCTGCTGTCGCCAAAGCACTTGCTCATCATTGCGGTTTTTGCTGTGTTATTTTATAACATACTTCAGAACATAAAGCACCCTGAGGTCACTGTTGCTGTGATTTGGCGCTATACAAATAAAACTGAATTTAGTCTAATAGAGTCAGGCAAAAGAGATTTCATTGTTTTAAAAAAACGAAACTACCTTTTATATACATGAAAGTAAGTTAATACTGAGAATCACCATGACTTTTTTTCATCAGCACAAAAAATATTATTGCCAGCTAAACATCCTGAATATCTATGAGTCGATATGAACTGTTAGATGATTTAACAGTGCTGTTTGCTAACTATAGACAAAAACATATGTTTTTAAATATTGGGCCATTTTGCTTCTATTATCTTTCTTTTATGGAAAAATGAAGTTAAAATGTTTATTTAACCCAATTTTGTCACTTGTACGTATGTAATTTAATACTTACTTAATAGGAATATATTTGCATATTTAAACATAAACTTTCTGAACACTTATAGCAAAAATCATTAATTACTTTAATTTGAACTTATTTAATGTAAGTAATTAACTGAGGAAATTTAACATTACCATTTTTAAACATAACTTTTCAGAAAACTTTTAATACAAAAACCATCTCTGTTAATGTGATTAAACCTAAAGCCTGATTATCTCCTCAGGCAATTCTAATTATTATAGTAAATAAAATACAAAGTGTATTTAATGTTTTTATTTCACCTGTTGGGGCACATGCTGTGTTTCATGGTAATTATGCGGCCTTCGCTCCGTGTAGGTCATTTTGAATGACATTGTAACGCTGCTGCATAAGTATGCCGTCCTTGTAGGACAGCTGAGGGTGACTTGATAAATTGAGCCATACTCAAGTGTAATTAGATCTTTAAAACTGCAGTTTAATGAGACGACACAAGACACAAGACTGGTGAATCGGAAAGCTTCGTTTTTAATATGACAGAAATGTTATAGAAGAAATATCTTTTATTTTGTTCAATAATTGACAAAATATTAGCCTTGTTTGTTCAAAACACTCATCAGTTAGCTACTGGCTAATTACTCTCCCTATTTTTCTCCTTGCAGAGGTGCAAATAAGAGTCCAGGTGTTCGACAACAGCGACCTGTCCCAGTTGGCAGACGCTCAGGTGGAAGTACACGGCAACCAGACCCTGTTGGCGTCCAGCCGTGCTGGCAAGGATGGCGTGGTGAGAGTCAACTTCCTGTACCGTGCGGGAACATGGGTCATTATTACAGCCTCCAAACAAGACTACGTCACCAACTCTGTGCCCTGGCACTCCAGCCGCATCCCGCGTAAGTCCAGCGCATTTTACGACTTGTTTGCTTTTTTCTCTACTTGGCAAGTACCGTAACGGTAACGTTGAGCCTTTAAAATGTCGGATATAGAAACATTAGATGCTATGTCCATCTTTTATATACATCCAGTAGATAATAAAACCTAAAAAGTATAAAAAGTATTTTTTACCTGTTGACCTACCTCATCCATTTTAAGGTTACTCCAAAGGGTGCGCTGGGCTTCAATACTGCTGTGATTAAAATGGAAGCAGCATTTCTGTTGCATAAAGCCTGGTAGTGCCACAGCTCAGGTTTTTTTTAGAACAGGATCACAGGATCTCTTGTTTCTAATTGTGGGAATAAAAAGATGTCTTTTTTGTTTTGTCGCTGGAGTTTTCAAATCTCAGTCGGGCCTGTCAATGAGGACGAGGAGACTGGATTTAAAAACTGCGTCATGTGTAATTCACCCACAGAATCCAGTTTTTTTCCTTTAGCCTTGAGGTTATGGAGCTGCTTTTGCCTAGATGATGGTTATTTTTATTATTTTGAGTCGTAAAACAAACTCTGTCTCAGCAGTGTTCCTGCACCTGTGAAATCTGCTGATTTCATTTTCTTCTTCTTGTAGTGTATGCAGCAGTCAGCCTGTACCTGCTCGTTCAGAGGCCGGGAACTCTTATTCTGTACGATGACGTCCTGCAGGTGCTCTCTGGGTCTCCAGGTAAAAACAGCCTCTAAAAAAAGCCTCATGCAGAACATATTTAATATAATATAGACTCATTAGAAAACGATAGTCCTGTTGTGGTGATTTGGATTGTTCAGTTTGGCCATTTGAGTTTTTATTTTTTATTTTTCAATACCAGAATTATTGCAAATCATCACAATCTCGCAATCTCGTTGCCTTTTAAATGGTTGTTTTGAATTGGTTCTGCACCTACTCCCAATCAGTTGCTGTCTTGGTCTTGAAAGCAATCTTGGTGTGTCAGATTAGCAATAAAATTCAGTAAGAAGAGACAGACGGATATAAATTTGCATTTGAAAGGAGGCAAGTTGCTAATTACATGCAATCTGTTTGTGACATTTTGGTGATTAACTGCAACAAAATGCGGAAAATAGCAAATCTGTTGCACAGAAGTTCACACTAACTGGCTTATGTTCAGAGTTCAGCCTGAAACTCAAAGATCTGAAACAGAAATGTAGAAATGAATCCACAGACAGCGATGCCGTTGCTTCAGGGGCACTTTAAATGCACAATTACAATGGTGCTCGACAGCCTCATGTCAGGTTTCCTGGGTCGTTGACCCGGTATTTTCAGTTCATATTCACTGTTTATCTTCCGTATGTTCCACTTCCTGTTTTATTGTGTTAGCCCTAGTCTGTGTGCATTATGTTCTAGTTATCTTCCCATTTATCATTAGTCAGATTGAGTCCAGCTGTTTACTCACCTGCCCCTAATCACTCATCATTTAGCCTGTGTATTTAAGTCCCTCAGTTTCATCAGTTCATTGTCTTGTCATTGATGTTGTCACTGCTGTTTCTGTGTGTGTTTTCAGTTCAATCAGTCAGTCAGTCAATATTTGTTCATCCAGCCCATAATAAACACCGTGGTAATCCTTCATAAATTAATGTCCTGCGTTTGGGTCATCTCTTCCTCGCATCCACACACGACACCTCTGACACCTCACCTGTGTAGGAATATAACCAGAATACAACCAACTGGCAACCAGATGAGATAAGATAAAGATAAGATAACCTTTATTAGTCCCACATGTGGGAAATTTGTTTTGTCACAGCAGGAAGTGGACAGTGCAAAAGTTATATAGCAAAAATTAGAATACAATATGAATAATATACTGTAATGTACACAACTGTACAGAATAGAATAAAATATACAATAAGATAAAAATAGAATACAAATTCGATACAACTTTGTATTGAGAGTGGACAGGTTGAGGGCGTTGCACATTAAACTTCTGGGTGAACATTTGGTCACCACAACTATTGTGATCAATTACTGAGCATGAAACAGTTCAGTGGTTCCTGTTTTTACCCTCCTGTGACTGAGCCGTTACACAACAGCAGAGCTCTGAGACTGTACTGTATTCCCTCCACACCCTGTATAAATGAAATTCCTGGATCCCAGCAGGTATTTTGATCAGGTTTGTTTTCTTTTTCCTAATTTTACTTACTTCAGTGCGAAGTAATGCATATTTGTGAACGTGTAACCAGTTTTTCTTGTCTATGGTTAAACAGTTACTGGATCCAGGGTTGGATCCACTCCAAAAATTAACCACTTCTGAGTTGTAGCAGTCTCCATCTTTCAAGAAATTTTGTGGCAAATCCTCCACAATCCTGCTAATAATGAGATAAACAAACAAACAGATAAGCCATAATTAAGGATTCACACCCCTCTCCACAACCTTAAGCCTAGAAGAGCTGTGTGTTATTATTACAAATATAGCTCAGTCGCAGCCGCCTCCGTACAGCTGTGATGCACTCACACATATATCGTTACACCTTTTTGAGCTTTAGAAACAAACACGGTGGTTTGTAGGCGTGATAGACTGTGAGGAGGGGGATTGTTTCTTTTTCAGGGGCTCGTAACCAGCCGCTGGTGCAGCTCCAGAGGAAGTCCATTCAGCTGCCGTCCAGCTCCAACTACACAGCACTCACTGCTGTGCTGACCACAGCCAGGAGCCAGTATGAAATCGGGGGATTCCCCTTCCTGCTGGGCCAAGAGACCAACAGCTCAGGTCAGTGTCAGTCTGTCAAACTGATGTTACAGTGTGGTCCAAGTTTCTGTGCCTTTCTGGATCATCTGAGGAGGTTTCATTTCTAGGTCTTTCCAATAAAATTTTGCACCGCAGTTTGCATGGATATTTTAGTGTGTTTTAGAAATAGTTGTCCCAGATCTGACTATAAGCTTGCTGTAAATAAATTGCTGCTACTTTGCTAATTTATTGTCATTTATAGTCACTCGTATACCACCCTCTGGTAGCAAAATGAAGATCAGAGTTATTATTCTGTTCATTTTTAGCTGTTTGTATTTGTGCCTCACCACCAATACAGGTGCAGAAACTGGGTGGATGGACTTGACGGCGCTGGCAGTGGTCAGCATTCAGCTTTTTGATAAAGATGGCAGCGTGATCCGCGTTTCAGATCCGATCCACATCTCTGTGCCGCTGCCATCAGACACCCGAAACAGGATGGCCACGAGTGTGCCCGCTTGGCTGTATCAGCCAAAGACGGGTAAGCTGTGTGCTAAAACTTACAAATAGTCTTTTATTAATGTAAACTATGTATGTATGACTGTACTTAGAGGCTGCTGATCATTTTCTTTCCTCCAGGGCTGTGGGTTCGGAACGGGACGGGCTACATCAAAAAGGACGGGACGCAGTTTGTCTGGAACGTCGTGGTTCCTCAGATGGGATACTGGTTGGCTGCCTTTCCGACGTCTTCAGGTATTGAAAATGAAATGGCTGTTATTGGTAAAATGTTAACTGGTGACTCTTCATGTGCCTTTTTACTGCTGTGGAAACACAGATAACAAGAAGCTGGAGAAGCCTTTACTATAAGATTCACTTTATCGTCCCTGAGGAACTCAATAATAAATCAATAAACAAGGTGATTTTGTAGGACAAGGTTAAATAGCCTTGAGTTTGAAGCATTGATCGTATGAAAAATGATAGCTTCCTTAAACTTGCATCCGTTTTTAATGGCCACCAGGGGGTGACTCCTCCGGCTGAAACAGACACCAAGATGGTGACAGCAAAACCAATGGGTGGCGTCATGTAGCTATTATCAGCTGAACCAAGTTCCTGATTATTTCATGATCAATGTAAATCAAATTCTTTCCTCCTCACTCACTTTACAGACAAACTAGCAGTTGTTTGGACAGCATAATAGGGAGCTGACATGCTATGAATGAATCTGAGTTAACTTTTGCAATGATGTCTTGCAGGTTTAGGTTTGTCTCATCCAGGCTTGAGGGATATCACCACCTACCACACTCTGTTCCTGCTCTCCATCCTGGGATCGCTGGCCCTGTTGGTGCTCATCTTGCTCTGTGTGCTGCTCTACTACTGCAGGTGTGGGGAGCATAGGTCCAGGTCTCACTTTTAGGTTTCTATTTGTAGCAAAACGTGGGTTTATTTTAGTCCTGCAAAGCCTATTTTTTTCTACTATCAATAAATTAGGACCACACCCACCTGCTGTTTATGAGGGGTGACCAATTATAAGGAAAATAGCTTACCAGAGGACGGGCTTGTTCTACACATCCAAAACAGCTTATTTTAAATGTGGGCTTAATTAAGGTCCGAAGAAAGCTTATTTTGAGCAAAGATACTCCAGTAGACATGTTTCCTTTTTTTTTACTATAAAATAACATATGAAAAACTAATTAAAAGTTTACTGTGTACAATAAGCATTCATACTTTATTTGAAATGGAACTTTGACAAATTAAGGGAGCTATTGAGTACTGCAGTACACAAATAATCCACCAGAGGGCAAGAAGCATGCGTCAGATAGTGTACCTGTTTTTTCCAGCGATGTACTGATCTTGCCTATGATAAAGGTCTTAAAAACTGGCTTTATGGGGTTCCTGCTTCATTAGACAGTTTTTGAAATCCCTCCCCTTTTTTGCAGCTGTTTTGCTTCCTTCTGACTTTCAGTTTTTGTTTATCTTTCAGACGGAAGTGTCTGAAACCACGTCGACAGCAAGGCAAACCTCACACGTCCAATCTAAATGGTGCTAAGAGAGACCAGGGCACATCCACGTCACGGCTAAATCTGATCTGTGGAGGCCATGTCGAATCAGGCCCCTCCAATGACAAATCTGACTTGTCGCCATCGCGAGACTACCAGAGTTCAAGGGAGGATTTAACTAAGCATGTTCCAGCCCACATGCTACGACACGCAAAGGGTAAAAATGCGTCAGGTTCCCAACGGGGTGAAAGCTTCCCCATGAAGGTTACACGTGCCACAGAGACCAACAACTTGGACAGCCCTTTGCTGCATGACGACTACAACCGGAACTACAGCCCCAAAGACAACAAGGAGTCCGACTATCACAGACACCACAACGCCAACGACAATCGAGGGTACTCCTCCGATCCCCCATCCCCACCTCGCTTCCAAGGCTACGTCCCAAGCCAGTCCGACAAGCCTCCGGATTATTCCGCAGCAGCAGCAGACAGCCTTGCCCGACCTACTTCCCTCAACACCCAACCAGGTCAGATCATCTTTTGCAGCTCCATTGACCAGATGAAGGAGAACATGTACCGTAGCATGGTGCCAACCCTGGTTATCCCCGCCCACTACATGCGCCTGCCATCTGAGTTTTCTGGCAAAGATGGCAAGGACCAGAAGGATCACGACAAAGATGGCACACAGATGGGAGGGGGCCAGCAGCACCATCACCACCACTCCCAGAAACAAGGCCAGCAGCAGCAACAGCAAGGAGGATCTCAAGGCGACGACTCTGAAGAACCGAGCTGGGCATCTGACTCATCCGGGGGACCTGTGACCATCCCAGTGCTATTCAACGATTCCACCATGGCTCAAATGAACGGGGAACTGCAAGCTCTGACAGAGAAGAAGCTCCTGGAACTTGGAGTTAAACAACACCCGAGGGCATGGTTCATCTCTCTTGATGGTCGAGCTAATGCTCACGTGCGCCACTCCTACATAGATGTTGGGAATGACCTCAGTGGCGGTGGTGGATTCGGAGGTGGCTCCAGCAGCACTCCACGGGATGTCAACCTGGAACCGCCTCTGGAGGCCCAAGAGCGAAAATCAGCTGGAAATAGAAAGGGAAAAGATGAGCGCTGGGGGACGGGAGGACGGAAGGGCCACGGTGTTAGCAGCAGCGGCGGGAAGAGTTACTCCAAGCTGGCCTACCCTGACCACAGCGAGCCCAGCAGCAGTGAGGGACGTCCCGTCTCTCCCGAGGAGAACTCCCTAACCCCTCTTCTGGACGAAGGCCCGTCCTCCCGAGGATCCACCATCCCTAGAAGAGGACGCAGCCGCGTGAACAGCAGCCGCAGCAGCAACAGCGAGAACCGCCGCGACTCCATGACCAGTCCAGAGGATGATTCCGAGGACAAAGATGAGAACAAGAAGAGCCCCTGGCAGAAGATCGAAGACAGGCCTCTGATGGTCTTCCACCCCAGGAAGTGAGCTTTTTGAATGAACACTGGAACTATAACAGCCTTGTGAAAGAGGAGTCTTTCACATCACCGAGAGGGAGGTCACAATAAGCACAGCCACTGCTTCACCAATCCATATCCAGGTTGTTGTTTGACCTTTGTGTTTGCCAGTTACTCTCGTAGCCTCACTGTCAGTTAATCCCTCTGGTTTCCACTGAGTTGTAGATTGAAATCTGTCCAGTTTATTGTGAACCCCGTCTCCTATCACCTGTCACTGAACCATGGTCTGAGCCATTGCACATACTGACTGTGGAAATAGCCATTTTATAGAGCAAAATATAAGAATAGAGCACTTGCTAATAATTTGATAACTTATTGATTGATACTTACAGAGTATTTGGAAGTGGATGGCATTTTTTATGGGACGGATGGGAATTCTTGGCAAATTAGGTTTTTTTCCCTGGACTAATTCTACCCAGATGCTCACAATGACTGTAGAAGATGTGAGCTTCTTTTTTCTTCTCTACTCCGAAACAGCTTCCCTGTCTGAGGAAGTTGTGAAAGTTTGTCATTGAGCTCTTGTGAACAGATTACAGAAATATTATAAAGTCCAACGTGCAACTTGCATTTTGCTCCTTCAGGGATGTTCTTGATTTCCTCTTCCTCCTGTACTGTGTTCATGTGTTGTAATTACTTACTCAAATAGTAATGATTTGAACTGTTCAGCATCATCTCCATCTTCTCTGTAATATCACAGTGATCTACTGTACAATTTTGCCAAAAGTACGCATTTCTGCCTTTCTTCTCTTGGTGAGAGTTTTGGCCAGCAGAGACTTTGTTGCATTTGGGTCATTCCAGTAAAAATCAGTCAGTGCCTCCCACCTGACCCTGTTTGAATCAGCAGATTTTTTATACAACAACTTTAGCATCTGTAATAAAGAAATGTAAGATTTCACCTTAATACTGTGGATATTTTTACAGTTATAAGCCCTCAAAATACCTAAGAGTGGTTTAAAATTCAGCTCTTTTTAATTCACATTAAAGCTCTGTTAAAAACTTCAATTTCACACCCACTCTGTCACAACCCAAAGGGTCTCAGGACGAGTGGATGCTCTGAGTATAGGTCAACATATGAGAACACTTGCGCTGAACAAAAGTAATGGCCAAAGAAAATTTGGAGACCCTCAAGGATTTTGAAAACCTTCTTTAGAACCTAAAATTTTTGGATAAATGTGATTTATCAAAATGATTAAACACAGTATGTGAGCACCAATGTCATTTCTCTGGTGAAATATTAGATTTGTTTATGTAAAATCTGTGTTCATCAAAAGCAACATTATGGCTTTTAGACTGTGACACTTGGAGATGGTGTAACATTGATTTGCTCACAGTTTCTAACATTTATGATGTTAAAAACTCAAGTAAAACCCTGTGTACTTTGAGGGCCTTTAACTTGGACAGTATTTATAGAATGAAGGTAAAAATTTGCATGGCCTCATTAAATTTGAGGGGGGGGGGGGAGCCGTGGAAGCTTCTGAGGGGGTCAGGTGGGATTTTTTTTTTTTTTTTCAGATTGGGCTGATTTTATATGGAATGACCCATTTATCTTGTGTAAATACATGCCCAGATATTTGAAAGACCATTTGGTATAGAAAGGTTGCATGCATATGAATGTATGAAATAAACAGAAGGCACCAAAAGCCCTCCCCTACAAGTTCCTGCTAGACAACCCCTAAACGCCAAGAAACAAGCGTAGTTCCAAACCGCTTTTACTTGAAGACTTACTATTTCTGAAATATCCTACTGAGATCAGCGGGGGTTGCCTGTAGACAGAGCCTGAACCACTTCTCTCCTGTAAGTGCCTTCTTTCACATAGGATCGAGTGATAGGCATGCCGGTCCCTTTTTAAAATGCAGTCAGCGGTCACCTAAACTCACTGTCGAGATCGGCAGGCACTGATAAGCACACTGCATTGCGGTAACAACAACAGCAACACGCGTCACTCTGGGGAGCATGCCTGCCAAAACAGACAACTTTTCTTGCGGCTATTCCGTCCTTGGATATCTTAATTTCTTGTATCTATCCTCTTTTTTCACGGAACCTGTAAATGGTATGATCTATATGAGATTTTATGTGTATACAATGTGCATGTTAAATGTAGAATAGGGTGTTTTTAATGATTTTTTTTAACTATTATTATTGATAACAAGGATGTTTGGCACAAAATGATGCATTGGACTGTGTTGCCAAATGAACTTTATGAAGATACACTGACTTTTCCCTTAATCCAGTTCTAACGAAATTCACTTCCGGTCGTAAATGTTTACAACGATAACATACTGACCAACACGCTCCTGCTGTTACTAGCATCACCACTGCCTATTCAACAACTGTGAACTTAGCGAGGCTGACGGCTGTTTTGTTGGTGGTTTTTGCAGAGTAATGGGTTGCTTATGAAGGGAAAACGGCTGTATAAAAGTCATGCTGACATGTTGGTCCTTTGTACCATTCGCTTGCTGTTCATAAGCCTGTGTCAGTAGCCTATGGAACAAGCTGAAAATGTGATGTAAATCAAAGTCTGAAGAATAGCACAACCATGAATCGAATCCTGCTAAAATGTTGCGCCCACTGCTGTAAGTGTACTTTTATTTTTTTGAACCAGATATGGAAAGTATTGAGTTGTGCAATCGTGGCTTTTCTTGCTTGTTTATGTTTTGCTAATGAAGTGTTTTCTCAGATTTGGTGAACGATTTGACACCGAATCCCTGAGAGGAAACTTCAAATCTGGCAACCTACCACGCTGGATGTTTTTGATAGTTAAGAGCATCAAGAGGACTGAGCTGTAGGCCTTCATCCTGTGCAGTAAATCATCGGCTTCATTCACCTGGTCAGTTGTTTGTAAACTGTAAATTGATTCAACTTTCTGTACATGAGACAAAATAGAAATAAATTTGTTCCCACGGTCTGTCTGTGTTTGGGATTTTATTTTAAAAAAACCACATCAAAACTAGCCTCTAATTAGGTCAAAAGTCCATGAAGAAAAATAGCAAACTCAAGCTGTTGGAAAAGTGAATGTAGCAGAACAAATAGATGGCAAATAGATGTTCCACCAAAGGATACTGAGGGCAATCAAGGAGAGAGGAAACAGCTGGAGGAAAAGAAACAGCTGAAATTAATCAAGATCAAAGATACAATTAAAGGAAATCTAAATACAAGACACAAAACACAACTCACTGCCAAACTAAATCAGGAAGCAGGCAAAAAACCTGACAAGAAGATAAAAGAATAAAGTAAACCTGAGGTATCAAATATTTAGAAAACTAAGTGTTTTCAAATAAATAAAGTAAAATAAATTAATTTACTTTGATTTTAAAAAAAAACCCCAAAATAAAGTATACAATAATAACAATAATGTTTTACATATTCTAATCATCTAGGAGTGGAAAGTATGCACATATAATTAATCCTTCTTCATAAGTGCTGAAGTATTGTTTCAGCTTCCTTGTTGATAGAAACTTCAGGAACATCAACATACATATTTGCACATAATTTATGCACTGTTTGAAATGCAAAAAAATGTTCATATATAGTTTTTATAATTCCGCAATTTTATTTCCGCACGTCAAAGGAAAATGCCTCCAATTTTGGAATGTTGACTGCAAAATCTGAGTAGAAAAAGAATATAAAAACTAAACAAACAGAGATATTATTTGAAATTCAACCATCATTATCTTTTTATTATACCTAATAAAGACTATGTGTTTTAAGCAACTTTTGCCATGGTTTTTCTCCACACACACACAAACACGAAAACCGTAGGTTTGACGTTGCCCACCGCTTTAAGTTATAACGTCCTTCTCTTACAGAAAACATGCTTTCAATACTTTGTGATGTTTGAATTCTTACCACATCTGTGCCAGTGTCGTAAGTTTTCATAAATTCAAATAATGCAATAGATAAAAAGTTAATTTAATATTCTATTTTTATATTATTTTGTTGTTGTTGTTTTATTTTCCTAACCCTGGAACGCTGCAGTGTACTGGCCCTTTAAGACGCTAGCCTGTAGAGTCACGTGTCAGGCGTCATGTGATATAAGTATTATCAGAGACTGTTTGCTTTGTGCGTTCTGGGTGTTGCAGGCTGTCACTACCACATCAAACGGTACATGTATGTGACCCTTCAGGCGAGGTAAGAGGATGATTTCCGTTTCGTACGTTGATTTAAAAAAAAAAAAGAAAAAAAAGAAAAGAGAACATCCGCTTAACTTCATTTAAACCAGCTAGCTTTGTTTTTAGCTGCATAGCCTGCTACGCTAACTTGTATTTTTATTATAAAAGCTAGCGTTAGAAAGCTCTCTCCTTTCAGCTGGTATTTTTTTTTTATAAGTTCCAGGTTATTTTTCTTAAACGTTGTCACTCCTTTTACCCCCTGTAGTATAATGCAGTATTTCCTAAAAGCATAACATCGACTGACAGTGTACTGTTGTTTTTCAGGAGTATGCAGAAAAGTGCCCAGTGCTGATAACGATTAAACTCTTTCTACCTGCTCTCGGGATTCCTGCTAATCATGGTAAATGTTTTATTTCGTATATATTGCTTCAGTATTGGCTTTGTAAAGGTTTAGTTTGTATATTTAAGAAAAAATAAATAAAAAGTGGGCGGAAAGCGACTAAACCCCATCCCCGAGCTTTACCATATATTGACATATGCACAGGTGAAGTTTAGCAATCTTTCACGTTATGAATTGTTGCAGTTGTTCTTTTAAAGTCGTTGACAGTAATGTTTGTCTTTTATTGAAATGTGAGCTTAACGTGTGTTTACAAAGAAACTAGACCTTCCATTATTGCCCTGTTGGTGCAGCCTTTTCTTATCTATTTTCATTTGCTATGTACCAGATCTGTTTGTCTTTTAGTTTATATTGCCCTCCCACGTTAGATTTAAATGGGTGTCGTGGCGTTGCCCTTTGGCATCGTGTGTAGGTTGTCTGTGTAGGTTCCCACTTATCTGGGTCATGGTAGTCTTTAGATCTGGAATATAAGGCAGCTGGACTTCATAAGGTTTTGAAGATATTTTACTTGTCATCCAAGAGGCTTCTTGAGTTTTAGAGAGGGAATGCTGTTCTTTCACACCTTGTCTCAGGTGACTGACATCATGCTGGGCTGGAGCAATGCCTGAGGTTTTACTTGTCTGCTCAGGTGACAGGATTGACCTGCACAAACACTTTGGGTGACTGCTCCCAAAATGACCTGGGACAGTTTTTCTAAACCTAAAAAAAAAACTGGGTAGAAATTTTGAGATTGAGCCACTATATGAGCCATCATGACTCCTTTCTAGTTTGTAGCCAGTGTGACGATTTGGCAAAAGTTAGAATCTGGCAGGTGAAACTAAAGTGGATTACCTGTTTGAATTTACTTTAATGATTTGTGCTCTTGAACTAAATGCCATGAACAGCACGTCAATCCAGAGCTGAAAGATCTTATGAACTGATCAGATCATTTCAGCAGCACGTTACTTATAGATCTGCTCTCTGATTAAGACAGTGGATCTGTATATGACCGTAGTTAACATAAGCCAGGAAATTTATCAAATGTCAGCATCCTGAGCAGTCCCTAATCTTTAATCTTCCCCTCATGTTTGCTTTTTTTTTTCTCTCTCTACATCTTCTTGATCTCTGAGAGTATTGCACATTAATATTTTATTGTTGGACAGTCTCTCTAATTGGAGATCGGGCTGAGAGACAAACTGCACAGAAACAGTTTGTGTTTTGTGCTTTTAGAAACATTGCATTTTAATTCTTGCGCCCCTTTTTTTGCAGTACTAGTAGCTACTTAAGAGGGACTATAGGATCTTTGAAATTGAACATGTCTCTATTACAAACCAGGTGTCTTACTTAGGTTAAAGAAAAGAGAAGGAAACGAATAAATAGAAACCTGTGAAATGCAATGATGTAAAATCTTTAAATAATAGAATGCAATGATTCTAGTAGAACAGGAACTCATGAAGCTAAATGGGTATTGAGGTGTATAAAATTTGAAAGGTTGCATTTGCCTGTGCTCATGGCAGTGGAGCTGAATGCCATCAGTAATAGATATGGACGCTATCCAGAGTGAGAAGTGCAAAGAAACACCCCAACGCTAACCTAGTACAAAAATATGAAAGTGAAAATTGACGTTTTGAGCAGACGCATAACGCTATTTTAAACATGTTGCATGTGTTCAGTTTGAACATCCCTTTTTCATTCTCAGTACAGAATCTGCAAAAGATGAGAAGTCCTTAACTACAGCAAAATGTATTTGTTGGAACTTGGTCTCAAGTGACAGAGCTGTAAAAGCAAGCTTCATTTTCATATTTGGGCAGTTTCAGGCGTCATCTTTGAATTGAACTGTAATTAGATGTAAAATGAGGAGTTCTATAAGGCTAAGCTTTTATAAAAGTTAAAGTTTATGTTTGGACTACTTGAAGGCTTCTTGTTAACAAAATTAAATTCCAAGAGGCTGCATGAGGCAAACTTTTCACTTGTATTAAAATTAAAGCATCTCCATAAACTGCAGCTGTCTGCCCTGAGTTTAAAATCCCTGCCACAGATGCTACTGCTTGCCGTCTACAGTGCATACTGTTATTAAATTATATTTGAGGAAATATTTGTGGTTTCAGCCCAGAATTGCCACCTTGTCAGAAGCATCCAGACTTTTAGGAGACATTTCAGAGTGTTTTGTGTTTTCTCGTGATTTCCTCTTAACCTGTGTTTTAGCAGTGTGTATCATCAAAGTGGTATTAATAATCTGTTTTCATTCCTGATGCTCATTTGAGGAAAAACAAAGACAAACAAGATGAACAAGAGCTCTTCCAGGAACGGTGATGCCATTTTTCTGAAGACTTAATTGGTCTGTAGGTGGCGATTTCTTACCTGTTCTCTAACGTGGAATCTAACCGGCACTGGAGCAGATAATAACATCATGGCTATGTACTCCAGGAAGAAGTGAACCACCTTCATAACATGGAAAACTTTTTATTTATTTCCATCCAGCCTGTAAAATGTATAGCAATTAAAATGTTATCACAAACTTGTGACATGAGCCAGCAGGAACGTCCAATGAGTTTAGTTTTTCTGGGACAAAAAGTCACTGCTGTATCACAACAGTCCAGAGGAAAATCAGTCTTAAATTGGCACTAAATCTTTTTTCATTACATATTCAGCAGTCTGTTAAGTCTGTTATTCTGTTCTTTCTGCTTGAGCTAAAAGGCCATTAATGATGCTAGCGGCCAACTAAAAATAATAGACATGAGTCACTTTCAGTCTGAGTTTTTGCAAAAGCCAATAATTGAATCTTGAACTCGTGACTTGTATTAATCGCTCACAGCCCTGTCCTCTGTTCCCTGTGTTCAGGCTCTGCAGATGGGGTTCTTGTGTTTGGCCCTGCTGGGTCTGAGCTCGGTGCTGGTCTGTCCCAATGGACACACATGTCAGAACAAAAACACCTGCTGCAAGAATACTGAGGGGGGATACGGATGCTGCCCGCTACCACGTGTGAGTTACCCGTCACTGTTGTGTCTGACCTGGATGTTAATCAAGTACACTATCGTGCTTCTATAAGTTAAGACGAGGGTAGCAGCCAGGTACTGCTAACCAAATGCACTTGATTCATCGATCATCAGTGAGTGTGAGCGACGAAGAGTTTGCTAGTCTAAAGCATTTGTGTGTTTAACACAGTGCTGAAGAGGGAAGATGCCAGTAATGATCTCAGAGGAGCAGTTGTTGCTGCCCATCAATCTAAGGGAGGGTTAGAAAGCAGTTTCCAGTCAGTCTGAAGTCTGTCATTCTACATAAGTGGAAAACACTGGATACAGTTGCCAGTCTTCCCAGGAGTTCAGGTCCCGGCACGTTTACCATGAGATCAGACTGTCCAGTGCTTAAACTGAAAAAACCAAGATCTGCATCTCACACTCTACATGCCTCAGCGTGTTT